GACCTCTATAGGGTCCACAAGCTAAAAACGTGATTTTTCGAACAATCAGGGGCCATAAATCAGGAAGTTACGGTCCGATATGCGCGAATATCGAAAGGAACTGAGATCTTTGGGTTATAAACTTACATTTCAAGTTTCAACAAAATCGGATAAATAAAAATTGTGACCTCTACAGGGTCCACAACCTTGATATACCATATTTTTAAGCTATTTGAGAACGAACGGCGGCCATTTTGTCTGTCAGTTTTGGGCCGATTTTCACGAAATTCAAACTGAGTCGTCCTTAGGGTTTAACGGTGATATAATAATACTTTTTATTTTTAAATCAGATAACAATTATGACCTCTATAGGGTCCACAAGCTAAAAACGCGATTTTTCGTACAATCAGGGGCCATAATTCAGGAAGTTACGGTCCGATATACGCGAATATCGCAAGGAACCGAGATCTTTGTGTTATAAACTTACATTTGAAGTTTGAACAAAATCGGATAAAAATTGTGACCTCTATAGTGTCCACAACCTTGATATACCATATTTTTACGCTACTTGAGTACGAGGGGCGGCCATTTTGTCTGTCAGTTTTGGGCCGATTTTCACGAAATTCGAACATAGCCGTCCTTGTGGTGTAACGATGATATAATAATACGTTTTGTTTTAAATCGGATAAAAATTATGACCTCTATATCAAAAAACAAGGAGAAATATCAGTTTTATGTGAATACACTGCTCAGGCAGCCTCATTTATGATTACATTAGTTCGTTTTAGAAAACTTATTTAATTAAATGTGTTTTGGAGATATTCTGTAGATATACATCCATCAAATCTGCTTTTTTGAGATTCAAGCCTGAATATCGAAAAACGAGTAGCTCGTTTTTCGTTATTCACCAATATCGAAAAACGAAAAACGAAAATCGAGCTAACTTCACACTGCCTCAATAGGGAACCACACATTTAGGGTGTTGAATGAATGGAATGGGTATTGTCCTGAGAGTTTAAATAAATTCAATTTGAAGGCTTTCACTTTTAAAGGAGCTAAATCGCTAATATTTTGGATCTAGAAATTGACACAAATGGGTCGCAACGTATATAATAATGTAATATGAATGTATATGAACTGATTTACATTCAATCGTTTCTGGTTATTCCACTCTATACCGATAGTATTTATTGAGCATGCTCTCCAGATAAGAACATGACGTCACCGTTTGACATGACTTGTGGAATATATCTAGTCTCTTTCTACGAGTCCCTTGTTAAAAACGGCGCTGAAATGTACCATGGTACACGATTCCTGTACCACCGGTAAAATGTTTATTTTGTCTTATTATTGGATATCAAAAGCCCATCTTTTCCCCGTAAAATCACAACATCAATGTTGATTTAAATTGACAAATAATTCGTGTTTTCAATGTCGAAGATTTTGGATGATATTGAGTTACAGACTTAGCTACTTTAAATCATCTTAAATATTCAAGATTTAAATTATAACAGATCACTACTCTAACCTGCATGGTTATATAACATATCACTACTCTAACCTGCATATGTAATCCACCAAAAAACAATAGGTGAACATATTTCCTGTTTTTATATACTTTGGGCAGATTAGCATTTATTTCTTGGACATATTGGACATGGGCCAAATTGGGTGGCTTTGATGGTCTAGTAAATGATGAATTTCATGACAATCAAAGTATTCATAAATGGCCCAGTAAATGTTGAATTTCATGCGACTCAGACACATTGCTTAAGAAATCTATACAGTGTTTAACGACTACCTACCTTAGATATTCTTTTGTTAACTCGAGGGGGTCATCTATATTGACTAGTCTGTTTTCGTTTTGGGTGTAAAAAGAAAAGATTTTTAATTTCGACATTACTTGTAAAATTATCCTAGATCGTGTTAAATCTAATATGACAGCTATATGGTAGGTTTGTTTAGATTATAACATTACCTACATGATAATATACAGATATTCTACAACACCTTCTATATTTATATTTCCATTTAACAAAAGCTCATAAATGGGTAGAAATGAAGACAAAGATCTTGCAAAATATTTCAATAATGGCAATGCAAATCCGATTCTGGTTGAGGCTTGCTCGCCGGAACAGGAATAAAGCTCAAGTGGATTCAACACGTGTTTGATTTGGAAATACTGCTCTTCCTTGAAGGGAACCTACAACAAAACTTAATTGTGACGGTTTATTCACCTATACCATTACTCATATCTGGGGAACGGCCATGACACATCAGATGAAATCTGTTGTTTATAAGGGGCCATTAGCGAGACCGAACTCGTGCAAGTGGCTTAGCTTAAAAGATGCCGAACCTTCCTCGTACAGACATGCATGGTTTAAAATAAGCTTCATCTTTTTGGGATGTATCGTTTAAAATCATTTCTTCACGAAGCGTGGAAATACGCCTACAGCTATTTCTATGAAAAAAAAACATAGCCATAGAAAGCAACTTATCTATAAAGAAAACCTGGATGTTGATCAAATTTGATAAGGATCCTTTTTTAAAATCAGATTTTTTGAAAGCATTAAAATCTCTATTTAGTTCACATGCTTTTAGGGACACGTAATTTATCTCTGAAATAGGAATACCAATTCTTTTCACCAAGTTTCAAAATCAAGATAGTTCACATCAAATTGGGGAAAAAACTATAGCATCTATACAGCTTTCGCAGGGTTTTCGGATTTGGGGAGGGGGGATTCCGGGAGGACATTAAAAATCCATAGATTCATGACTTGTAAGGGGGTGGGGGATGGTCTTTAAATCATAAGGTTTATCAATGAATCAAGTGACGTGATTTCGATTCCACACTTATACGTGATATGGAATAGGGTCGTCTGTCTAACCAGGTCTTCCAACTGCTAAAGACCACAAAGCGCAAGTCAAATATTGAAATTATGGTAGTTTCAAAATGACCTAGTTTGTCTTGAGTGGACGTTAAACCCACATTACTTTAGAAAAATATCTTAAAAACTATCGTCTCTATTTGAAATGGGTGGGGTAGGGTTAAATCCGCAATAGCCGATCGTCCAAAGTATGAAAACGATTCGTTAAAAAATGTAGCCTCTATCGTGTTAGCAAGGTTATCAGGAAAGGGATATAACTCTGGGCCAGAGTATGCTTTGGTATGCTTTATACCAAATTTAAAAATTAAAAACAAAAACTGTTAAAACCCGAAGCCTTGATCATGTTCACACGCGCATCACTGGCGGACCGAAGGACGCCCATGGGGGACGACATAATACGCCCATATCGAAATGTGGGCGTATAAAACAATATGGGCAACGATGCACAATGCTTGACTTCTTGAATACGTTAGTGAAATAAGATCGATTGATAGTAATAATTAGATAAAAAAAAACTGAAGAAATTTATTGGTTCGCTTCGCACATTATTTTCTGTTTGAAAATACCAGACCACGACCAAGATTCTTGGAAATCGTTGATTAGATGCCAGTCTCTTATAGTTTTATATTTGAATACCTTTAAACATAAAGAAGAAGTATGGGTTTATTAGTTTAAATATATCAAACTTCAATAGTCACATTTATCCTTAAAATAAAATACTAGACGATATCTGGCCCCGCTGGTAATACGGCTACCAACAAATGCTTACACCTTTTTCTCGTTATAAATTTAGTTTTGTTGAAATTCTACTTAATTGTTTTTTTTTATCTGTTGTTTATTTACCTTTTATACAAATTCTGTGTGCTCAATAAAATGTGTGCTCAATAAAATGTGCATTTTTTGTATATCATCATGATGATAGTTTCGCCAGATTCAAAATTATCAGAAAGTTTTTTTTCATGTTGGTACTCATTCATTGCCCCGATTGGCAAAGCGGATACATGAGTAATTATAAGAGCATGATAGGGTGGTGTGAATTAATAGATTTCACACAGTATCCTCGTAAAATCAACGTAAAACATCTAAATTCATATCTATTGCTCGTGTCATATAAATTGTATTGGCGTTGGGCTTTCAATTTCCCCTGTTTTGGCATTCATTGCAGTTAATTAAGAGCTTATTTCGTAGATAAATATGAACCGAAAAACTATATGACATTTTTACGAGTATCGTGCAACTCTTACTGTGTGTCTATTTGGCTGATAATTACATAGACATATTGCTAAGTGATTTTGGGAATCTAGTTGATGTAGAATCTATTCAGATATACTACCAAGTCGACACGGCAAAAATAAACACAGTGTATTTAACAAAAGAACAAAGTATTTTACTTTTTCACATCAACTGTCTAGACGAAGATAATAAATAATCGACATTTTTACTCAATGATGCAATCGTAAAAAGTGGTCTATTAAATCTGACTTGTTTAATAGAATTGGTGAATGTGTAAAATTCAAGTCATAAAGCCACTAGTTGAGAAAGATGGGCCGTGATAAACATACAACTCGTACCTTAAAGAGGACTATTCGAGGTAATCCTTTAAGTGGTAAGCCCCGGGGCGAAACCTTTTTTTCTCCCTAACATCCCACTTAAGCTGTCATTAGGATTGTAAAAACCACTGACCCACCACAATGTCACCCTTACACCATCACTGACCCACCACAATGTCACCCTTACACCATCACTGACCCACCACAATGTCACCCTTACACCATCACTGACCCACCACAATGTCACCCTTACACCATCGTTTTTCTCTTACATCCTGGTTATGCCACCGGAATTGGCGTGGGGTTGTGCACAACCGAAAGTAAAAGACATAATTTGAATATTTCACTATGGGAAACTTCCGTTAAGAGAATGTCTGTATACCTGTTTGTTTGGGTTTGTTTTGTTTTTACTGTATAAATATGTTGTTTCGGCGACATAATGGAAATGTATATAATAGTGTGTAATATGAATTGATATGTTTGGTGTAGTTGAGTATTTTCCTATAATTCTATCAACATCTCAACAATCAATAAACGTTTGTCTACAACACTTTAATAATTCTTACTTTTATTTTGATTTCAGTGCCAGACACGAGTCTGAGAATGAAGCGATTCCACCTACTAAGATGTATCAGGCTGGAAGATGTAACTGCAATTCGAAACAACGAATAAAAAACCCCATGGTATTTTCTTTCAACCTTATCGATAGATGAGACAGTGAGACAATTTTATTGCTTCAAAACGGGAAAAATCAGAAACGAGTTTGGCACTGAAATTCATGGCTCACGCATGTGGGTTTTGATTGGGTAAACGTCTGTTGTTTACGATATAACAAGTGCAAATGTTTATTAGTAGAAATGTGCTTGCGTTTTCATCAAAATTAGTCAGGTAGTGTCGGTGCGTCGGATCGTGATAAAAGAAGAACCACGACCATCTATACGAAGCTAGGCCCAGACGACTCTGTGTTGCATCTTGTGCCAATTCTAAACATCTTCCCATTGAATTCATGTCATATAAAACAAATATTGGAAATAAATATAGTTTATACAGGAAAACAATGTGTTTGTTCACGCCCACAAGAGTATAATATGCTTTCATTTATGATCATGTTATTAGTGGTATTCAATAGCTGAACAACATCCTGAATCAAATTACACATCAAATCAACTCAATTTAATACATTGGAAGTAAATACCTGTTATAGCTTAAACCTGGTTCACATGAGTGGGTCACGTATCCGTGAAACTCTCATTACGCCATCTTGCGTAGAGATATGCGTAAGAACGTGCACCGTGTTAGACAAAGACAGTAGGGTGGTGTAAAAGTACGGTAAGAGTGTCGCAAAAGCCACGTCGTTTTTGAAAATGTTGAATATTTTGCTAATAACCACAATGATGCTGCGCATGCGCTACCACAGTATTTATGTCAAGTTTGCGTGGACTTGTGCGGCAAGTCGAGTATAGAAGACCAAATACCTCTTTATTCAACGGAGCGCGCACTGCACAAAGATGCAAGGGTGTCACTAATTTAGCCTGGCTATTAGGACTGTCTGCTCGAGTAACGTCCAGTGGCGGCACCAAGCGGGGGCTTTCACCCCCACCCCTATAAATCTGCTTTGCTCCCAGTTTACCCCCCCCCCCCCAGCCAAATAATTAAAAAAATTTAATCAATACCTTCTACGGTGATTAAATCCCACATCCCCACTCAGTGATGGACTTGCATGTTGTAGAGTCAGAGTGATTTCTTACCGAACCCATTCTGCTGTAAACCTACTGTAAACAGTATCACGTAAACCATAAGTGCTTTTTACGTTCCTCAAAGTTTTGGGGTATAGGTTCAACGCGGCAAGACAATTCATTAACTTTGATTCACTCACTCCGTTATTTGACACCTTCCTAACTGTTCGGATAAACTAGTGATTTTGAGACAGTATCTGGTCAGCTCTATTTATCTCGACGACCAGTGTCTGAAATACTGCCAGGCTATTTCTCAAAATATCGCCGCAAAAATATTCATTCCCCTTGATTCACTCACTCCGTTCGTTTGAGACTTTCCTCTCTGGTCGGATAAACTAGTGGTCAGGCGAAGGCGGTATCTGGTCAGATCTTTTTATCTCGACGATCAGTGCCTGAAATACTACCAGACTGCATTTCCGGCAGTCATTTTTTCAAAAATTTCTGGGGAAGGCTCCCCATACCTCTAGTTGAAGCTCGCGCCTCCCCCCCCCTTAACCTTGGACTTTGCCCCTCCTACTATCTACCAGCGGCTTGCATTTAATGTATATGTTGATAAACATGATTGTGAGCAGACGTGGAAAAGTGAGAGACTTGGGCAGGGATTTATCCCAGAATTTAGTAAGGTTTCGATATTTATGGTAAATGGGCAGCGATTAATGATGATGGGTTAGTTGTATTTTACGTCCGCTTCCACCGAGGTGATATCGCAGACAATGCAGGCAGCGATTATTTATGGTAAATGGGCAGCGATTAAAGACAGCGTCGTCTTTTATATGCAGTGAATTCTCTTTCGGCTTGGTAGTGACACAGACATGGCTTCTTTAATTAGATTGTTTGTAGCTCGGGGTATTTCCTCGAGAAAACGATGTTTTCACAGGGATTTGAAACAAGCTTTGATAGATAAATTTGTTTGAATATGGTTTTTTCCCAATATACCATCAAAACACCCAGTTTGTACATGGGAAGACATCTTTAATATAATGATAAAATATCTTTTAAATTTACATTTCATCAGAAACATACAACAAAAAACAACAAATCTCGAATAAACAAATATCCAAATATCAATCTTGGAAAAACCAATGTCAAAAATATGTCTCTAAATTCGTCTAACCTGAACCTTATGACTACAGAGGACGCTAGTCAAACGGCTCCACCAACCGATAAAATAATAGCCGCACCTATACGTTTCTTCGATGATATACATCGTCCCTGTAAAGATTTATATAATAATTATTAAACTCTTTATATAATTGTAACTTTAAACAATGTACTTATATTTTTGTAAATAATTTCGTTGGGGAGATGAATTATACCAAAATCGTTTCAGATTGATACAAAGATGTATATTGACATTATTTGTAGCAGTGTTGCATTGGTTATTTTAATAAACGTGCATGTCGTGTAAATATTTTCTTTTGTATTCTGAGTAGGTTAATTTCATTCGCCCAATCGGAAGGTTAAACCCACTTTCATTTTATTTAATTTCATTACTAATTTAAAGCCTTATATAATTAATAATTATTAGAATTATTAAACAATGTATACCTTTTCTTTGTAATTGGTTAACAATTCTAAACTATGTAGTTATAATTATTTGGAGGAGAGAATCTTATAAAAGCCCCGACTGTATCTTTTTATATTAATATGTAAATATTTAATGAATAAATAGTCTGAGAACAAAAAAAAAAACAAAAAAAAAAAAAACCATAAAAAAAAAATAAATACCCGTAGGCAATATTTCGTTGGATGGATTTTATTCAATGTCACGTTTATTATAAAAAGTTCGATATACGTCATAATTCATCTCCCCAACGAAATTATTTACAAAAATATAAGTACATTGTTTAAAATTAGAATTATATAAAGAGTTTAATAATTAATATATAAATCTTTACAGGGACGATGTATATCATCGAAGAACCGTATAGGTGCGGCTATTATTTCATCGGTTGGTAGAGCCGTTTGCCAGACTACCACTAGCGTCCTCTGTCGTCATTATGTTCAGGTTTTTATGTTGAGATTTTTTTTTCGTTGTATGTTTCTGATGAAATGTATTGTTTTGATTTTCTTTATCATTTATCATATATTAAAATAATTAAAATTCAAGTCAATTAAACAAAGATACGATTTACAAATTTGTTACAACAAATGTCTGATTTGTAAAACAAATATTGATTTTAGTATACAAATGTCGAAATACGACAACAAATGAAGAAATAAGAATTAAGAGGCCTGTGAATTAAGACCTAAGAATTAAGAACACTGAATAAAGAGCTGTTTGGCCTTAAAAAGACCAATGGGTGACGATATGATTACATGACTTACATGTTGTGTCATCACGGAGTCACGCTCCGCACTACCTACGCCAGGGTGAGACAGGCGTTCCGTCCAGATAAGAAAACAAGGAGATACTCGATTGAACGTTCCAGAAATGAATTCTACCAATCCACAAAATTGTGACAACCAAGTGAAAAGGGGGATTTCGGTCTACAACGCATGCGCAGACTGCATAAGAAAATAACTCAATCAACCATGACAGGTGAAGTAACGTTCTGATTCTACGCACCCCACCTCCGTTATCGGCAAGGACAGGGCTGTGACGGGACGGAATTCCACTTTATTCCATTGAAATTCTGTCAATTCGGGACGTTCTGGACTCACAATCGCACATGCCTAAAAAGGTATCGAAACGTGATAAGGCTTTAGTCGTTACGTGGAGTAATTTCCCTTTAAGAGGGCATCTTTGTAAATCCCCACCCCACCTCGACTATTATGTATATCCAGAGGTGGATCCCCTTCCCAGACCCAAATATGTTTGTTCCCAACCCGTTGCAGGGATCCCAAATTACACAAACCATCGACTCAAACACACCAGTCTGGTCTAATTAATGCTTCCACTTTCAAACGAATTCTTGTTGTTTAGCTGACGTTGCCCTAATCCTATAGAGTGACTATAGACAGACATCAATGATAGCATCTTGTGGAATCGGCGGCGTATACACTCATGCCCATCACCGACGCGCATGAGTGCAACTTGATGTAGCATTGTTTCATGTGTGGACAGTACACAGTACAAGTTACAAGGCTTAAATAGTAAAGTGGCTAGGGAATAGATTCGTCTTTTTCCCATCATATTGCCTCGCTCGCCTTGACAATTTTCGAGTCGCATGTTCAACTGGCTTTTTTGCTCGATTGTAAGGCTTTTTTTTAACGATTTCCGAATGTTTACTTTGTCGAAAATATCAACCAAATAGCTCTTGGAATGGCTACAGATGCAAGGAAATGACGGATAATTTTCTTGGGGGACCCCCCCCCCCTTTTCATGATTCCTAGTTCCACCCCTGATATCATATATATATATATATATATATATACGTGTTACTATTGATGATCATATAAATGGAATTAAAATTAAAGGTTTCTAAAAGAAAATGAAATCTGTTTAGCAAATTGGGTTTTAACCTATGACTGCCGGATGTTAATGGGCTGGAATCTTGCAACAGAATGAATTGAAATGGGAAAGAATTCAGATTGATATTGTTACTGATTGAGTTGTAATAAATATATTTACTCAGTTATGATTATGGAATATTGACTACATTTAGTTATCAACAAATGAATGAATCATTATTTTTAATTGGAAAAGGAAAGCTTAACTTTAGACCGAATCCGAGCAATAGTGGGGCAGATATCGGAAAGAATCATTCAAATCTGGATACAAACACTAACATTTATTAAGAAAAAAACCGTTAGCCGCTTAAATTTTCAAACTGGCCGAAATTTTTCAAGATGGCTGAAATGAAATGAAATGGGCTTTAACGTCCTACTGTTTTGCTCCGAACTGGGCATACGCCATACAGTGTGCTATGAGGGAAATTTTGCCCGTACAGCGGCACTACGTCCTACTCTTATATCGAATTCCAACTGTCAAGGGATCTTTTACGTGCACGCCAATGTGTACACGGGACCTCGGGTTTTCGTCCCATCCGTCCTGAAAATCTGGATGAACTTTCTCGGCCAATGCAGGGATCGAACACCCGACCTCCAGGCTAGCGAGCCAGCGTCTCACCCACTTAGCCACCGTGATCCCCCAAGATGGCTGAAATCTTCGTCTTATCTTGTATTCACTGAACGAATTAGGATGATTTTATACCCCCACATTTTCCTATGGACATATTATGTTGTCGCCAATGTTAGACATCCGTTCACATTTGGCTGTGGACAATCTAGACGTCACAATTTTTATGGGATTGTGATGAAACGTTCGTTCGTTGTCGTTCGTTCATGGGGTTTTACGACGGCTTCAACCTTGGGTGATA